TGCAGGGCAGAGCTTCAGAGAATCACTAGGGCGGGGAAAAGTGTGAGCCAGGTTGCTGGAGTCCCAGATATGGTGACTGTCTGCCAGTTCCGTAGGGGAAGAGCTCACCAAAGGAACAATGGCTTCCAACAGCAGGTCTGTCCAGGAGAAAGCTGCCTCTCCAGCCCTCCCCCCAATGCCAAACAACTCAGTTCTTCCCATAAGTCTCTGGTGCCTTTCAAGCTACCTCCCAACACTGGAGCCCAGAAGGAGTGAGTTTGAGTAAGTCCTTGTGTGGGCCCTTTAAGAGGAACTGCCGCCTGGCCAGTGTGGCTCATGGTTGAGCGTCGACCCATGTACCAAGACACTGCTGGTTCGATTCCTGGTCAGAGCATGTTCCCAGGTTATGGGCCGAATCCCCATTGCAGGGCATGCAGGAGGTGGCCAATCAATGTTCTCTCTCATCGATATTTCTATCTCTCCCTCTCCCTTCCTCTCTCTCTAAAATCAGTAAAGAAAAAGAAATTTATGAGGAGCTGCCTGGGGCTCAGTTCCCGCTGGTTTTACAGCCAAAAGTGATGGGGATTCTCTTCCTGGCACTGGAATCCTGAGCTGGGGGCCTGGTGGGACGGGGACCCCTCAGTCCTCAGGGAGGACCTTCCCAGCCGAGGTGTCCTCCTGATTTTTATCCGCCACATGTGGGTGCGGGACCAGCCCCTCCGCCCTCCTACCAGTCTGGATGTGGCTGCTGCTTTAATTCCGTAGTTGTAGGACTTCCATTCAGCTCGATGTCAGGCGGTTCTGAAGGATGGTTGTTCTGTAGTTTAGTTGTGACTTTGATGTGGTTGTGGGAGGACGCAATACCGTGTTTACCTACCCGCCATCTTGACCGAATGTTACAAGTCCTCAATTTTTAAAGTGACATTAAAAAACAAACAAACTGAGGACTGCCCTGATTTCACACAGTTCATGTCAGTGTTACGAGAACCCACGTCTCCAGTTTCCCAGAGCAGATGTCTCTATATTCACTACCACGTCTTGCCTTCTTGTTAAAGAACTTGAAAATGCTACTTCTGTGTAGGTGGAGGTTCTGAAGAGCTGTAGAATTATGACTATTTTTCTGACCTAAAATCAGTGACACCTGTTTCACAAACTATGATGCCAGGCTCTGTATATAGGACCTCTCACCAATACTAGAACATTAAAAAGTGACTTTTTTTTTTATCCTCACCTGAGGACATTTTTTCATTTTTTTGTTCAGATAGAGTGGGAGGGAAAGAGAGGAAGAGAAAGAGAGAGAAACATCGATGTGAAAGGGACACATCGAGTGGCTGCCACCCGCACGACCAACCAGGGCCGGGGACAAACTGCAACGGAGATACATGCCCTTAGCGGGAACCAAACCCGGGTCTCTCAGGACCGCAGGCCGACGCTCTAACCGCTGAGCCAAACGGGCCAGGGCTAAAAAGTGACTTTTTTTTTTTTTAATCCTCACTGGAGGATACTTTTCCACTTATCTTCAGATAGAGTGGGAGGGAGGGAGGGAGAGAGAGACCAGAGAGACATCAATGTGAGAGACACCCATCAGTCGGTTGCCTCCTGCAGGGCCCCCGACCAGGGCCGGGAACGAATCACAACCGAGTTACATGCCCTTGACCGGAATCGAACCTGCAACTCTTTGATCTGCGGGCCAACACTCTAACTGCCGAACCAAATCAGCCAAGGCTAAAAAGTGATTTTTTAAAGTACTTCAACATTTTAATTTTGTTTTCTTGATTTAAAAATAGACAGGAGACGTGGGTGGTTTGGCTCAGTGGTTAGAACCTTGGCCCGCAGACCAGAGACCTGGGTTCGGTTCCCACTAAGGGCATGGACTGTGGTTGCAGTTTGTCTCCAGCCCTGGTTGGGGTCATGTGGGTGGCAGTCACTCGATGTGTCTCTCTCCTGTCGATGTTTCTCTCTCTCTCTCTTCCTCCTTCTTTCCCTCCTGCTCTGTCTGAAGATAAATGCAAAGAAAATGTCCTCGGGTGAGGATAGAAAAAAAAAATGGACAGGAAATACTTCTACCTTTCAACTACCATAAACTAAAAGCCTGATCATTTGAGAACCCTGATCATAGACTTATCCCTTACCTTGGCCAGGAAAAATAAAGCACAGAAATTAGGCAGTTTAATAAACAATTTAATAAGGTAACTCATTTGTATTTTTCATGAGTAAATGTGTACTGAACTTCCTTTATGAAGAGGGCACCGTGTTAACACTTGAGATATAAACTATGAGCTACAGTCCTTGTTTTTAGGAGCATAAATTATATTTGGTAAGATAAAACATTCCAGACAATGTTGTTATTCTGCGCTGAGTTTTCAATCCAGTATTCAGTTAATTTAGATGAAGTATTTTGAGTTACTAGAATTCTGATCCTTTTGTGCAAAAGTATAAGTGTTCTGCTGGAAACTAATTGAAGATGATACCAGAGCCTCAGATAGTTCTTTCGTGAATTGAAGTAAGATGCCCTTAAGAGGTAATCTACTTAGAAAACAAGTGTGCTTTACAGCATGGTTCTCAGAACCTGATGTCTGTGTACATTGCAACATAGCACCTTGGCAGTAGTATTTGATTTTAATTGAGGAGAAAGTTACTGACACTCACTGGATAACTTAACTGTATAACAATTCAAAGAAATAGCAATAGAGAACTGAGGCTTTATACAATGGGTTTGGACTATGTTTCTATCCTTAACTTGAGGATAAAACAAGCATACTTAAAACACACATTTATGGGATAACTTAATCCTTTCAATGTAAGTGAAAAATGTCACAACTTTGTGGATTGATACTTATAGTGGACACTGTGGCATGTTCTCCGGGTATGTTCTCTCCACAGCCTTCCCACCCACAGCATTCTGAGGTACCCGTCTCCCTGGCTTCTGGCAACGCGGCTGGAGGCTGAGTCCTTCTCCAGGTATTGTCTTCACCCCAAGGTCATGTCTCTTGGATCCAATGGCTAAGCTACACAAGGAGATAAAGTCCTGCCCCTTGCTGTTATATGGCCCAAGAGCAGGGCATCCCCGGTCTGAAATCAGAAAGGATGTCCTGCCTGCATCCAGCCCAGTGTTTCCCTTTCTCATTCTGCCACTTTTGTTCCTTCAGAGACACGGATCTTGAAAGCAGTCCCATTGAAACTGCACCCTAACCTCCATCTCTGAGTCTTTTTCCCTAGGGGGGCCTGACCTGCAACATTTTAAACTCAAAGCCAAAAATCACTTCATTTTTACTTAGACAAACTATTCCTGCTAAATTTTCCCTGCCTTTATTTTCTTCTATTAGGATAAGAAAGAAAAAAACCTTTGAAATTTTCTTGTAGCAGTATTCTTAATGTTCTTTTTTAAATTTTTTATTTTTAATTTATTGATTTTTAGAGAGAGAAACTTTGACTTGTGGTTCCACCCATACATGCATTCGCTGGTTGACCTTTTCATGCACCCGACCGGGATGAACCCACAACCCCAGCATATCAGGATAATGCTCCAACCAACTGAGCTACCTGGACAGGGCTTAGGTAATGTTTTATGAAAATGTAAAATAACCCAGGCACTGCTTAATTGGTAGAGCATCTAGGCATCTTGAAGCTCTGCACCCCCACCCTATCCCAAATCATTTTTACTATCTATCTCCAAAGTTAGGGATTTTAAAGTAAAGGAGCTGAATTCCAATGAATATAATAATTTCTAATAACATACCTGAATGTGATTAGTGTTGATAATATTGCAGGGCTTTTGTTTTACTTGTTTTATTTATTTATTTATTTTTAATCCTCATCCGAGGACATTTTTCCATTTTTTTGTACAGACAGAGTGGGAGGGAGAGAGAGGAAGAGAGAAAGAGGGAAACATCGATGTGAAAGGGACACATCGAGTGGCAGCCACCTGCACGACCAACCAGGGCCTGGGACAAACTGCAACCGAGGTACATGCCCTTAGCGGGAACCGAACCCGGGCCTCTCCGGACCGCAGGTGGACGCTCTAACCGCTGAGCCAAACCGGCCAGGGCTGTTTTACTTGTTTTAAAAGACCTTGCATGTCCATGCACAGTACTGGCATTTTATGCACTTGGTAAACTACTGATTTTCTATTTCATGAATTTATCAGAACTGTGTTGAACTGGTACATCACAGAATGCTCAGAATTTTTAATTCACCGTTATTAAAGCAAATCCTCTATTTAAAATATATAGAAAATAATGTAGCTAATAACAGACTTAAATAAGGTGGCTTGTTATAAGAATAGCATTTTAAAAAATTAGCCTGACTGGTGTGGATCAGGGGAATTGAGCATTGTCCCATGGACTGAGAGGTCCCGGTTCCATTCCATCAGGGCACATGCTTGTGTTGTGGGCTCCATCCGCAGTGGAGGGCGTGCAGGAGGCAGCCAATCCATGTATCTCTCACATTGATGTTTCTATCTCTCTCTCCCTTCCTCCCTCTCTAAAAAAAATCAATAAAATATATTTTAAATTTTTTTAAAAAAGAGAAAATAATGTAGCAAATATTTTCATATCCAAGGTATTCATTCAAAGGTTAGGAGGAGGAAAGAGGTCTCATTTCTGATGTTTTGCAAAGGAAATTTATCTCTAATATCACATACCATACTGAGATTATAATATTCTTCTGATCTAAATTTGTCAAGCTTTCACATTATTTTAAAAAAAGGGCACGGGGGTGTTAGTGCCATCTCTCGGCCTGCCGGGATCGGTGCAACGCAATGAAACTAGAAGCACACACTGGAGTGAGAGGGAGCAAGGGAGCAAATGCTCCAGATCTCTGGACGCAGTCCCATTTATTTGCAGATTGGTACCCCCAGGTCACAGGTGGATTTAAGTAAATTATTTCCTTGAGATGGCATTACTGCAAACATACACCCTAGCTTTGTCTCTTGCTTTTTACGGGAAGAGACCTTGAAGCCAAAAGATAACAAACCCTTATTCACATGCAAATGAAGCACCCAATACACCTGGACAGGCCAGGTTCCCCCCCAGGCTAGGATTCCGAGAATGCATTAACACAAGGTTAAAAAACGTCCATCTTCCAACCCCCTCAACCCAACAGTTAGTGTGTATAATTTCATTGATAAAGTCTATCAAAGATAATTGTGAAACAATGTAGCAATCATTGAACTCAAAGACCAATATCCTCTAAATGGAATGTAGTTTTTCACTCAACAAATATTTGGTTTGATATATGACACTGGGGAGGCAACAGTGAAAGAGGCAGAGCATTCCTGGTCCTCAAGAAGCTTACAGTCTTCTGGGGAATCCAAACACTAAATAAGCAATTGCAAGTACCCGGTGGAAGGAACTTATATTTGGAAAGCTAACCTCTCAGAGGGGTGAGATTTAAAACTTGTTTTCATTGTCATCCTATGCATTATGAGGAAGCAGAGAAAGCCTAAGAAAGAATACAAAAACATTTAAGAAAGGGGACAGGTAAAGGCAAAAACTAAAGCTTTTGATTTGAGGATGATAACCTGTTCACAGCCCACAGAGGTCCAAGATTTTATATGCTTTCAAAAGTAACTAAAATGTTACTTTTACTTATTCCTTTGTTCATATACCTAAATCTGAAATTAGTCCAAAAACCATAATAAGAGACCTTAGAAAACTCGCATCCCAATCTCAAACAACCAAAAGTATTTAAGACCTAAAATGGGCAGACAAAAGACTTCAAAAGCATTAACAGCTCAGGGAATGTACGTTAAACCTCATTTTATATTCCGAAAATTAGGAAAACTGGCTAATTATATATCTCAGAATATGTTTAAGGTGATTTAGCCTCTTGCTAAAACAAAACAAGCTCACTGCTTTGAAGACGTCATTATACCAGCCCTTCAAGGTATCCGTGAAAACTGCTTATTACTAAGAGGGAGCAGTATGGGATCCAGAAACAACATAAACCAAAATCTCACACTTCCCTTTAATGTTAACTGAGTGAAATATGACTGAAAAGTCACAGCAGTGGGACAAAGTTTGTTCCTTGAGAACCTTTGGTTTTTGTACAGTAAGCCATTTCATTAAACATGGCTCAACTCCCAGGCTAGGACCTTGACACATTTAATGACAACATTCTTATAAAATAGCCAACTATAAGCCCTCCCTCTGGTTCCTCTTCTGTGCTTTGTAAACATGTACATCTTTTTCGGGATCGTAGTGAACCTTGCTCACAGTGAACTGTCTCTCCAGCATCGCTAAGAAGTTGTTATCCCGTTCGTAGCGAATTCGGCAAGCTAAAAGAATCACGGAGTGGTTGTCACAGAGATGGGCCAGAGTTTGAAGAAGGTCTGTGAATGTTTCTTCTAAATATATGATATCAGCTCCAAGTATCAGGTCAAATTCTCCAGGTGAAAAACTCCCCAAATTCTGTCCCCAAGTCAGCTCCTTAACAATGGCTTTGGGTTGGATATGGAGAGGTAGGTTGGCTTGAACGTTTGATTTAAGAAATTCTAAGGCTACTTTCCGATCCGTGATGGTCACGTGAGCACCTAGAATGTGGGACAGAGAGAAAGCAATGGGCACATCAGTACAACGAATAGCGGGGTCGACTTACACAGCAGGGTGAGTGTCTGTAAATATTCCACCCGATATGCAGGCCATGCCCTTCACGGGTGGCTGCAATAGATTAGAACAACAACCAGTAGCACTTTCTGCACTGCCTACTAGTAACAGTGAATCATAAAATGCAGGGTCCCCAAGTGACAAGCTGAGGCTTCTCGATTCTGCAGGCAGAGCTGGCCCACCCTCCAAAGGTATCTACCACTGTGCTTCATTCATTAGGTCGCAGTCTTCAAGTTAGTAGGCTTCAGGGTGAAAGAGAATCCAACCATGGAAAATCTGAGAGCAAATGATTATGAACATGACAAGATACCAAAAACAGGGAGGGTCTACATTCTGGGAGTAAAGCTTTAAAAAGAATCAAGGAAGAGATTAATTGGCTACTAAGAAATCCTAGTACACGTCTCCTTACACTGTTATCAAGCAGCCAGTCTATATGTGTATATATATGAAATTATTGAACAGGGGTAAACTTAGAAATTACTAGATTGTGGTGTGCACTCGTCCTCAGGCGCTGGCTCGTGCCTTTCCCTCCCCCTTCTCACCCACCTCAGGCGTGTTACCTCTGCCTCCCTCTCCGACGCTCAAGAGCCCTTCCTCTGCCTCTGCAACCTGTTTCTCGGCCTGCGCAGCCCAGCTGGCTCCCTTCTCCTACCTCTGTGGCTTCCTAAATAATCTTTCTCCTATAATGTGGGGAAAAAATACTAGATTGTATTCAAGTACTGTAGGTTAAAATGTGACAGCATGTCCTCTACAAGTTATGTTTCTACATGCAGTGTAAAAACATTCATGAGGCAATATTTTACTAATCTCTTTCTTGTGGGTTTTTACTGTGAACAAAAGATGCAATTTTTTGAACCAATCTGTCTGAGAGAGGTTGAACCCTTAAAATGAAGCAACCACGTAAGGTTAGCCCTCAAACACCTCGTCTACATTAGAGTAACAGTATAACATGTATGATCCTGTTTAACTTTGGCCCTGTAAATTCTGAAATCTAAAATTTTGTTTCAGCCCTGGCCGGTTTGGCTCAGCGGTTGGAGCGTTGGCCTGCGGTCCAGAGAGACCCGGGTTTGGTTCCCGCTAAGGGCACGTACCTCGGTTGCAGTTTGTCCCCGGCCCTGGTTGGGTCGTGCGGAAGGCAGCCACTCGATGTGTCCCTTTCACGTCAATGTTCCTCTTTCTTTCTCTCCCTCTCTCTCCGTCCCACTCTATCTGAACAAAAAATGCAAAACTGTCCTCAGGTGAGGATTAAAAAAATTTTTTTGTTTCATAAAATTCCCACATGCAGCCTTCTTCAGACTGTTATCTTCATGCAGAGGGTGGGGGTCCCCCCACAGGATTCCAGAGCAGCTACAGTAAGCACCATTTCAGAGGCAGCATATACTTAACGCTTCTTATCGTGACCTGTAACATTAGGTCAGGACAGTATGTAATTCAGTTGGTCATTTACAGTCCTGAGTGTGAGACTGTGAAAACATTCCAGTTGTTACGTTTTATAAGCACGAACCTACCACTTTGTTCATTGCCAGACAGTGTGCGGCCTGGCACGTAGAATTCAAGGATACTTTCACCTCTCCTGACAATGCAAATCGCAGACAGCCTTTTCCTGGTTTGACTCAGAATTTTATCTCTGGATTTCTTAACAGTCACAGAGCTCTGTGCTGACAATATGGAGCGATCTAGGCAATTTGCATATCATCTCGGTGTTCATTTTGATAGTTCTCAGATATAGACCTCCAGTAATGCCTGCCTCAGGGATTTCTGAGGCTACTTCTGACCTGCTCAGTGTTCCAGGAGTCTTCATAGAATCCTGGTATCAGGTGACCATTCCCTGTAACACCTATCAATTCTACAAACCTTCGAGTGGCTACCACCAGCCACAGGACAAAAACCCCAACCCTCACAGAGCTTACATTCAATAAGATAGACAAAAAGAGGTTTTTAAAAAGAATGTCCAGTATGTTAGAGATATGCTAATAAAAAAAATAAATCAGGGAAGAGACATGAAATGTCAGAAGTATGGGAGGCAGGTGTGAAGTTTTAGACAGTGGAGGAGGGGAAGGCATCGAGAAAGGCCTCTGGGAAGACCGAGGGAAAGCCCGAAGGAAGAGGGAATAACTGGGGGGGCGGGGGGGGGATGTCCTGGCAGGAGGACAGGGAGTGCAGAGGCCTGGAGGGAAGGAAGGAGGAGGCTGGAGTGGCTGGGATGAGCGAATGAGGAACAGACAACAGGAGATGAGGTCACAAGAGTAAGAGCAGGAAGGGAGGCTGACCACAGAGGACCTCATCCATCTGGTTTTGAAAAGGCGTTGGGTGCAAGAGGCGAAGGGATTAAGAAGCACAAATGGGTAGTTATAAAATAGTCAGGGGTGTGTAAAGTACAGCATAGGGAACATGGTCAATAATACTGTAATAACTATGCATGGTGCCAGGTGGGTACTGGAAATATTGAGAGGGACAACTGTCTAACCACTAAGCTGTACACCTAAAAACAATACAAAATAAAATGGAAAGAAAAGGCTTTGGCTTTTCTGAGTGAGGTGGAAAGCCACTGGAGAGTGCAGAGTAGAAGTGCTCATGATCTGACTGAGGTTTTCACAGATGTCCCAGCAGTGGGCAGGGCCAGAAGCCAGGAGGCAAGTGAGGAGGCCAACACAGTGATCTAGGTGGAGGCTGGGCTTGCACCTTGCTGTCACCACCCCAGACACCCTCCACAAGCCACCTGCAAACACAGCTCACCATGAGTAAGCACTCTCCTGACTCTCATGGGAACCACTCCCCCACTACTCAGAGTTTGATCACCCACATGTCCATCTCTGTGGTTCTGTTTTTTTCATTTTCTTTGTTGGTTTGGTGGGAGGGATAAAGAGGAAGTTTTACATGTCTCTTAATCTATCTTTTGTCCCGTGCAATGTAAGGAAGAAACACATCATTAGTCCCATAGTTTCCCACAGTCTGGATTTTGCTGACTGTATCACGTGTATAGTTTAGCACGTTCCTCTGTCCTTTGCACCTTCTATAAATTTTTTTGACTTGGGTTTAATTTGTTGAATAAGACTATCTCAGAGGCAGTGGTGTTTTTCTTCATGAGTGTGTTATACCTAGTAGGGTCTATTTTTGTGATGTGAGCAGCCACAGATACTCTATGCCCATATCCTTAATTCATTAGATTCCTTTGCATTTATTTGTTAAGAAACTTTGATGAAGGGAAGCTTCTTTTTTTAAGATTTATTACATTTTTTAAAATATGTGTTTAAAATTTTGAGAGAGAGAAGAAGGGAGAGAGAGATAGAAACATTGATGTGAGAGATACATCAATTGGCTGCCTCCTGCACACCCCACACTGGGGATCAAGCCCACAACCGGGCATGAGCCCTGACCAGGAATCAAACCAAGACCTCTCAGTCCATTGAGCCACACCAGCCGGGCAAGGGGAGCTTCTTTCAGTTACCATTTGGTTATTCACGGTGTATAGGAACTGTTTCAATAGGAAAGGCAAGATAAACTTTGCTCCTCCCTTCCCCTTTATAAACCAGATTTCAAAATAAAGAGCTGTTTTCTAAGCATCCTCCAAAGGCACCTATTCAGGGGCTTTTCATTGTTGTTGTATCATGACTTCATGGATTAAACATACTTGATGTATTTCAATCCACTAACATTGTCATCATCGAATTATTGATTCCAGGGTTATCTGACTCATGTCCTAGAATCAGCCAGTTAAGAAGTTTTTCTTTTTTTTTTAAGATGGGAGAAATAATAGCAAGCTCACAGGATGATGAGAATGATCAGGTACAGAGTAGGGGAAGGGACAATGCAGGAAAGAACCTCTGGAGCAAAAGCAGAGACTATGGGTCGTGCCGTAGGTGTGTATAGGCAGTGGTGAGAGGTTACAGAAGTTCTCTTTTGATTGCTTCAGTCTTCTCAGTGCACTAAGAATAAATATCATCAGCTAAGAGTGAGAATGGAGGAGGGGGGTTGTAGGTTAGCACAGTAAAAGAGGAGGTTGTGTGACTGCTCAGCAGCATTAAGCTCCATGAGGTTTGTGACCATGAATTTAAGATGAGACCCAGCAGCAATGTCTCCTCCAGCCTCATTCAGCTGCACAGGTCTGCACCTGGAACAAGTGGAGAGCTGCACTTGACCTTGTTTTCAGCCTAGTGAAGATAAAGCAAGAAAGGGCAGGTGTTGATGGTACATGAAAATGGTGGTAAAGATGAAGATAAGATGACTGCTTATAATTTATGCAGGAGGAGGGAAGTTGGGTAATTTTAGTTCATAAAAGACTGGTGGAAACTGACCCAGTAAGACCATACAGCTTGCTGTCACTCACTCGGTGATGGAAAAACGTTTGTCCTCACATTTGGTTTTTAGTTTTGTAAGCAATGGCTTAATTTACTCAAATATTTAAGCACACATTACATGCTAGAAGATACAGAGATTGCAAGATAAACCTTGCCCTCTAGGGGCTCAGTCTCCTGAGGGAAAGAAACATAAACATCATTGTGATTCCATGTGTGAAGTAAAAATAGCAACACAGGTGTGGCCATTCCTGGGGGGGCCAGGAGACAGACTCATGGAACTGCCTGTAGGGAAATGTGGTCGTGCTGGACAGAGGCGGGGAGGATACCAAGCACAGTGGGGAAAAGAAATAATGCAGCCATTAACTTTGCTTTGGGGCAGGAAAGAACTCAAAGAGGTGACAGGACCTGGGCTGGGAAGCAGAGAAGCGATCCATCTGCTGGTCTAGCCACTCCCAGAACCACCCACGTCTTTTGTGGCAACAACTCACTAGCCCCTCGCTCTGCGATAGTCTTTGGATAGCCTTATCCTGACCTTCCCAACCCCACAGATCCAGATTCCTAGATCAGAAACAAAAATACACGAAGAAGCAATCAGTATATGCTGAGTATTTACTTTGTGCTGGTGAGCTAACAGATTTGCACACACATCTCATTTGATCCTCTGTGGAATGAATGTGATTGTTTCCCTATTTTATAGGGTAACTGCAGGTTAGAAGTTAAGCAACTTGCCCAAGGTCACACAGCTAGCAGAAGTCAAAAGACATATCAAAACCAAATATAATTCTAAACCTATGTGGTTTACCACACTAATATGAAGCTACAACCAGACAGTGAAGTTTTGCATGAAGACCTTGTTCTCCGGAGGAAACAAAGGAAACCTCATTTCCCTCCTAGTTACCTCCTCTCTTAACAGCAGAGAGAAGTCAGCATTCTGGAAAGAAGATAACGTGGGCTGCTGTGGCCGACAAGCCTGGTTTGAGTCTCAGGGCTCCAGTGATCAGACTTCAGAGAGTGGCTTCATCTCCCTGAACCCCAGTTTCACTTGAAAAATGAAAAATAACACCTAACATACATGGGGATGTTACAAGGCTAATCTTAGAAGAACAAAAGGCAGTATAGCAGCAAGGGCCTCATTTTTCCTTATGGGCAGTTGACCCATAACTCATAAGTACAGGGGAAAGAAAAATAATCCAGTTGGGAAAATGAACAATGGGTTTTACATCAAGAAAACAGCAAACACCCCTCTCGAGGAGCTCCACTCACAAAGGAGTGAGCAAATGTGTCACTCACCCAGCAGGGCAGCCACTATGCTCACCAGCCCCGTGCCAGCACCCAGCTCCACAGCAGAGCAGCCCCTGAGCTCCACAGCGCCCATCTCCAGATACGTGGAAAGAACGACAGCCTGAGTCAAAACACAGGATGATTATGATGAAGGTCAGCAAGTGCTCAAGTTGCTGAAGGGTTTCAAGTAGGCTCTGTGCTGGCAGGAAGAAATCACACACCCCTCTCCCTCTGCCAGGTTCAATCCCCAGGTGAATCACACACACAGGAACTCAGCTGCTGCTGGGAGCTAACCTCCTAGAGCAAGCACAACGTGGTGTCCCACAGAACAGCTGCACCAGGCCCCCCCAAAGGCCCCAGTGGAGACAGCAGTGGTCCACGACACTGCCACACAAAATAGGGTCCTACTGAATCTACGATTAATTTCTTGTGTCACTGCTTTATCCTCGAAGCTTACAAAACTCCTCTGGCAGAGCTGACATGAACAGTCTCTGGGATTTTGCTTAAGGGAATGTCCAGTTTCTAAACTAAACTCAAGTCAGCAGAGCCACAATGTCCCCCAGAGGGAAAACTCAGAACAGCACCCAAGGCCCCTGGAGCAGGAGCCCTAACCATACATTATTGAGCATCAAAAGGTTAAGTTTTAGCCAAATTTTGGATACTAGATGTGTGAGTTAGCACTTGCATACAATTCTATAGAAGCATTGTATACTGTTAACATAATTTTTAAATAGTTTGTTTTTATTGCCACACACTTATTAGTATAATTAGCACTCCCTCTTCTAGGTGAGCATTTAGGAGGCTCACCCATTCCTCACTATTATGTATTTTTATTACTTGGTCTAGGCATACTTTTCATGTAGATACCTTAGACAGGATTCCTTGAAGTATTACTGGGTTAGAATATACAGATTTTTATTCCTAAATGTTTCTCTAACTTCCTTAATGCAATGCAAAAACAGTAAAAATGTATTTACACTAAGCATTTACCCAACATCAAATGAGTTCCCACTGAATCCCAGGTGTGATGCTAGATGCTGAGGGCAAGTCACTGTCACAAGCAGCTGACAACAGTGTTGGGAGAGGAAGAGATAAAAAAGTAATTATAGTATATTTTGGGATCATTACAACTATGAAAAACTTAAAAGAAAACACAAGGTCTTCACTTTGGGCTTTGTCATTTTACAATATTCGTTGTGTAATATATATATATATTTTTTTATCCTCACCCGAGGACATTTTTCCATTTTTTGTTCAGGTAGAGTGGGAGGGAGAGAGAGGAACAGAGAGAGAGAGAGAAACATCGACGTGAAAGGGACACATCGAGTGGCTGCCACCCGCACAACCAACCAGGGCCGGGGACAAACTGCAACCGAGGTACGCGCCCTTAGCGGGAACCGAACCCGCGTCTCTCAGGACCGCAGGCCGACGCTCTAACCGCTGAGCCAAACCGGCCAGGGCCGTTGTGTAATATTTTAATTTCCCTCAATTTTCCTTTACTCATCCTTAAAATGCAATCTATTTCAGGGAAGATGAGCAGGGAAGTGATTCTAATGGGTAGAAGTTTTTTTGGAGGGGATAGGGGGATGAAAAAATTTTTTTAATTGAGCATGGTGATGGTTGCATCACTCTGAATTCACTTTTTTAAAAATCACTTAATTGTACACTTTAGATGAAATGTACAGTATATAAATTATAGCTCAATAAAACTGTTCTTTCATTTTTTTTAATCGAGATCAGTCTTATAATCAATTGCAGATGTTTTCAGAGTCCCCTCCCCCCCCCCCCATCTGCTTACCGCATCCCAAACGACTGCTGCGACTCCCAGTTGTCTCCAGTCCTGCCGGATCTGAATCGTGCGGTTTGCAAAGAAGAAGGTGGCAAGAGGCTTGTGGAATTTCTGCAACCCCACTGCTGCGGTCTCCTCATAGGGCACCAGGGCCATTTCGACTATGCCAACCCTCTGCTCCCTTGAACCTACGGGGCAAAAGAATCCTGCGTGCTCTGGTCAGAAAATGCATTCTCTCTTAGGTGGCCCCAAATGCTTTTTAAGGTCATTTTATGAGTTCAAACGAATAAACAGATGAGGAAAGCTTTTGTCTAATTCCTTTTACATGGTACTTCCAGTCTTGTGGGAAGTGATATTTGATTCTGAATTCATGCCAAAGGATGTCTTTGGGCAAAAGCACCCAGAACAGTACAACCCTTGCAAGAAGCTCTACACACTTCGCTGTTAGGACTCAGAGCGGCCTTGAGGGTGAGCGAGGCGGAGGTGCCGGCCCAGGGCCCGGGAGGATGGAGCGCTTTCTACACGGTCCAGGCCCCTGTTGACTGCAGCTGCTCCCGCTGCAGCCGGCAGGGTCTTTTCTGTTGTTCTGTTGTGGTCTTGCCTCCACAGCCTCCCAAGAGGTGCGTTCACTGGTGACAACCACGGGCCCACACCTGCCCTTGGACCGTAACGGCTCGATGATACTACTTCCGACGCCAGCCGGACATGTGCAGGGACGCTGTCCCGTCTCTTAGAGACTGAAGTGCAAGACGCTCGTGGCTTCCCAGTCGCTCGCGGGGAGAGCGCGGCCCTGGATCCCGAACGGACTCGGGCGTCCGCGGCCAGGAGACCTCCCCGGGGTCCCCAAACCTGGCGCCTCCCGCCTCTCTACAGCGCCCACAGGCGCTCACTTCCTTCCCGCGGATCCCAGAGCTCCGGTAACCCGCGGGGGTGAAGATGGGAGACGGGGAAAGGGCCCTAAGGGACCCCCTCCCGGGCCAAGCACGACACCCACCCACCCCGGGAATGCTGGGAGCTGCCTGGAGGAGGCCCGAGGGTGCGCCCAGACCGCCCCCCAAAGCCACGTCCACAGACGCCGGCTCGCCGCTACTTACGGCCCCGGAAGCGGCCCCGCGTGGTGCGGGCGCTGCGCTTGCCCCGCCCCGAGACGGCGGCGAACACCCGCCTGAACGCAGGAGAGCCGGCACCGGCCTCGCGGGGGCAGTGCAGGCAGACGGGGAGGACGGCCCCGCCCCGACACGCGCTTCCGGCCTCCCGCTTCCCTCCCTCCCGGCCGGCGCGGGGCGGTCGCTGGGGGGCGCCAGGCCGACGCGCGTGCTGCCCGGGGCCGGAGTGGGGACACTGTGCGGTGGTCGGCCCTTACCCAGGGAGTCCGGGGTATTCGGGCTACCGACTCAGTCTCCCCACCGCCGCGGCCCGCGTTGGCAGAGCCAGGTGTGGAGCCGCGGTCGGGTGCGCTGAGAGCTTGGGGCGCTCTGGCGACAGGTGAAAGGGAAGCCACCAACACGGCACTGGCATCGTTCTTGTACTGGTTCCACTTTTCCGTCTGTGTGCTCGTTTTTTATATTTGTGTGCTTGCTTGTTTGTAGTTGTATAGGTGGCCCGTTCGCGGGTGTAAGAGAAAGTTCGCCCGAAGACCACGCGGTCACTCATTTGTGCACGCGTCACCAGTGAGGTCCAAAGCGGGGCACTTGCCCTCTTGGTGACAATACAGTGGGAAAGTGGGACGGTCCTTAACCAGAGCGTAGACACGTTGCCCGCACTTGGTGCCGGGCCCGGGGTTGTAAAATGGGGCGAGGGGTGGGGGACACCGCTGCAGGGACCTTGCCCCTCGCGGTTGCTGTAGACCTGAGGCTGCAGTGAGCATCCTGGAGTGTGACCATGCGGGGAACAACTTCCTTTCCTTTCCTGCTCTGACCCTGACCTGAAATCCCCGCACCCCCACCGACCGCCCGCCGCTCCCTCGTGGAGATTCTCAGCCGGGGCGAAGGTTAGAATGAATGGACATAAGTGCTTTTCAACTCCCGATTCTCGGCTCCGGGAAAGGCTCAGTTGGTGTGCCTCTGGTATTCTGAAGAGCCTCCCTGGTGATGCCCGCGTGCTGCCACGGGCTGGAGGCTTAGGCCAGGCCTGAAGCACCCCCTCTGCCATCACGCAGGGAGCATGCCAGGCCTCTCTGCGGACTTCCTTCCACGTGCAACGGAAGGCTGGGCCTGGGGCCTCAAAAGTGACTTGAAGTGAATTTTGAGGGTCTCCAGTGAAGGTCCCTTTTTTTTGTCCTCAGTTTTTTAAAATTTATTTTTAATTTTTTATGTGATAGAGACTTTTTAAGAGCTGGTGTAAGTTCAATGCAAAATTGGAGAGAGGGTACCAAGATTACCAATACATTCCTTGCTCTCCATCCTCCCCCTCACCCCCATGCACAGCCTCCCAGTATCAACATCCCCCACCAGAGTGGTACATTTGTTACAACTGATGAACCTACACTGAGACATCATTACCACCCAAAGACCAGTTTATGTTAGGGCTCATTCTTGGTGTACATTTTATGAGTTTGGACACATGTGTAATGACATGTGTCCACCATTTGTGTTATGGTGCATAATAGTTTCACTGCCCTAAAAATCCTCTTGCTCTACCTTCATCCTTCACTCCTCCATAACTCCTGGCAACCACTGATCTTTTTACTCTTTCCATAGTTTTGCCTTTTCCAGAATGTCTTATAGTTGTAATCATACACTATGCAGCCTTTTCAGATTGGCTTCTTTAACTTCCCTGATTATTAGTGATGTTGATAACCTTTTCAGGTAACTTTTTCATGTACCTGTTAAGCACCATGTCATGTACCAAATGGTTTGGACCATTTTAAAATCTGATTGTTTTCTATTATTGAATTTTAAGACTTCTTTGATATATTGGATAACAACCCTATATCAAATGTGTATTTAGCAGATATTTCCTCCCAATCTGTGGTTTGTTTTTTGTCTATTCTTTCACTAATACCACACTTGATTACTGTAGTTTCACAGTACGTCTGAAGTCAGGTAATGTCAGTCCTCCAACTTAAGTCTTCTCATTCGGTATTACAATTTTTCTCTTTATTGATCTTCATTCTCTTTTCTTCTTCTCTCCCAGTATCTCCTTTCTCTTACCTCCTCTACCTCTCTGTGCTGTTTATCCCTCTCAACTTTCCTTTTCGTAACCTCGCTTTTTCATATTTTTCCTTTCCTTTGGGGAGCCATCCTGGCCACAAGAAAAAAAATATGCGCTTTAGAGCCTGAGAGATTGAAATTTTCAATTCTGCCTCTGACACTGTAATTGGGATGACCTTAGTAATTACTAAACCTTCCTAGATCCCAGGTCCCTCAACCATAAAGCCTGACACAGAGATTCTGGCGCCCCTCCTCCATTCCTCCTCCCCATTCTCCATTGCTTCTGCTGAAGTCATCCATAGGACTTTACAAAACAAAGCTTTCCCATGTCCAGCCAGTGTGGCTCAGCTGTTGGAGCGTTGGCCTGTGCACCAGAGAGGCCTGGGTTCGGTTCCCGCTAAGGGCATGTACCTCGGTTGCAGTTTGTCCCTGGCCCCAGTTAGGGTCGTATGGGACCACTCAATGTGTCTCTCTCACGTCGATGTTTCTCTCTCTTCCTCCTGCTCTATCTCAGGATAAGTGCAAAAATGTCCTCGGGTGAGGATAAAAAAGCAAAGCCTTCCCAACCTCTCCAGCACTCCATGAACACAGGACATTTGCCTCATTATATTTACTTACAGTTTATCTGGAAAGTTATTTACTTTTTGTCAACCATAATAGACAAGAATGTCCTTCGTCTTGCCAATGTTCTGGCTGGTACCAGTTGGCTCGGGAAGCACCAAAAAGAATGTTTAGAAATACATGCAACTTGGAAAGCAGTGTAGACATTTAAGTGGAGCTCTGTTTTTATCAAAATAAACCAAAAACAGCCAGTGGTTCCCTATGATACTTGAAAATGAATTTCAATCCTTGAGAAAAGTTGGGTATGTGGTAGATTATATTACGTAAACACCCAGTCCACCTTCTACATAGGCCTGTCCCTGGTGTCCCTTCCTAAGGGATGTTTCTCCATCCTATTGAGGTCAGGCTTGGCCATATGACTTTCTCTGGCCAAAGGAATGTGGGTGGAAATGACATTTGTCACCTCTGAGCAGGAATATGAGGTGTCGTTGCTCCTTTTCCCTGTGCTCAAGAGCTGCCTGTCGCAGATTGGGGTGGTCCCTCACCTCGGACCGCAGCCGCAGCAGAGCCACAGCTGACCCATGGAGTATGTGAAGCATAAGTGACAAATACACCTTTGTTGAAATAACCATTGAGATCTGGGAGTCATCACTACAGGATGACTCAGCAGAAGCTGACAATACAGGTGTGAAAGAAATTTCAAAAGTCAGGTAGAAGTTTTTAGAATGGACAGCTTTGTTTAGCTTCTCAGGGAAGAAGGTTTTTTGTTGTTGTTGTTGTTGTTGTTGTTTCCCTAATCCTCACCTGAGGACATTTTTCGATATTTTGTTCAGATAGAGTGGGAGGAAGAGAGAGAGAGTGAGAGAAACATCGACATGAAAGAGACACATTTAGTTGTTGCCACCTGCACGACCCAACCAGGGCTGGGGACAAACTACAACCAAGGTACGTGCCCTTAGTAGGAACCGAACCCGGGTCTCTCTGGACCGCAGGCCGACACTCTAACCGTTGAGCCAAACCGGCCAGGGCAAGAAGTCTCATTTTTAGAGCTCGGCCTAGCTCATAATGACTCCTAATTGCCCTACACCTGGCAATGGTGTAGCCCAATGCCAGCATCCACCTAAGACTACTGATCACTTTTATCCCATTGTGATTCTTCGGTTTGAAGACAGCCCTGCCGGCACTCCTGCTGGGGTATAGAAAAAGGTAGATACACTCTGCGTTATCTGTAATTCCAAAGTGCAGTTCAGTCCTAACATACCGGTCTATAAATTATATGGTTTTTCCTTTAGCCAGGGGACCTGGGCCTCTTTCCCTGGTCCTCCCCTGGACCCAGACAACTGAAAAGGAGACATGCATAGGCATCTCTTTCAGCCCAGTGGGTTCCCTGTGCACCTTCAGGCTGTTGGACTTCTCATACCCACACTCAGCTCCTTGTGAGTATTTAGGGTGGGGAATTTAGGGTGGGGATAAAATATAAATTAGTATGCCCCAGAAGCTCTGGTTGATAGCTTTCTGTTTTTATCCCTGAGACTAAAATGACCTTTCCCCAATCATGTGACATCTGGCCAGCACATCATGGTGGGAGGGCGCATATTCTCACCCTCCTGTTTTCTGGAGCCAGGCCATGTATGAAGTCATGGTAGAAACAGCCACCTTGGTACAAGGTGATTTCATCCTCAGCCGGGGGTGGATACCCAGACCAGGCTGGGGAAATAAATTTCTCTACAGAGCGAGAATTCAGAGTGGCTATTGGACATGTGTTGTTTTGCTGGTAGGAATTCTCTTCTGCTAATGGTCAAGAGCTCAGTTTCTGGAGCTCAAGAGTCTAGGTCACATCCCAGCTTTGTAACTTACTGGCTGTGAGGCCTGTGTGTTAGACACATTCACCTGGGCCTCCATTTCCCCATCTATAAAAAGGGTATACCGTCGTCCCTCGCCACTTTGTGCTTCGACTTTCGCGACTTCACTCTATCGTGTTTTTTCCAAATACTATACTATATTTGAATAAACCTCGTTAGAGTGAAGCCGCGAAAGTCGAAGCGCGAAGTGGTGAGAGACAACTGTTTATAAATAAAGAATCTTCCTCCCCGGAAATTCATTTATTGCAGTAGAGTCTGGAACTGATTAACTGCGATAAACAAGGGCCGACTGTACTGTGCTGATTACATTAGTAAACAGATAGTAAACTGAGGTTAG